GACAGCCATCCAGCTCTCTGGTGATCCTCCAGCTCCAGAGATGTGACACTTGTAGAGTCCTTCATCAGACTTGGAAACACTGTGGATGGTCATCTCTCCTGTAGAGCTGCTCCTGATGAGGAGGCCATCTTTGTAGAAACCAGCTGTCAGATGTAAAGAAGACATCTTCTTCCTGCAGGTCAGAGTCACGTTGTTGCCTTCTTCCACAGGGAGGACAGGACTCTCCAGGATCACTGAACCAGCTGAACAACCCCCCAAAAAAAGAGGAGTTAGATGGTGAAAGTGATATTAGTTGAATCCCTTCTTGAATCGTTGGCGTTATCCCACCTCGCCACTCTGTATAAATGGTACGATCGCGGAATGGGGGGACAGGTTTGTCTCACCTTAAAGCCAGCAGTGAAGGTGGAAACAGCGATAAATTGACGTATGTGTAAAAGGGACAGCTGGCAGGACGGGACCATGGTGGTGGTACACACAGATGGTGACATTTTGAAGATGTATCATGTGTGAAACCCACTGAAGGAGATTTAAAATGCAGCGAACAGCACTTAGTGGCTAACACAAAGAAGAAATTCAGTGGCTGAAACTGTCTGCAACCTTGGAAAACAACAAGGTCCAGGAGCTTGTCACCCTCTGAGCAGAGGACGCTGTTTTTTGAGAGGACACGCTATGTCATTGGTATTGTTATGAATCACTGCCAAAGGGTCTGTTACATGTCACACTAGAAGCTGATGCTGTTGCGTTTGGCCTCACGTACGTCATGCCTCTGTTGCATCTGGGAGAGCACGGTCTGTCTCCGAAGCCGTCGAAATCTGGCCCTTGTGCAGTAAGTAAGTAAGTAAAACTTTATTTATATAGCACTCTTGACAGCACGAATGCACGGAGTGCTTTACATCAATAAACAATGAGCAGTGACTTTCGGCATCAGAAACCCAAGAAAAAAGGCATCCTTTAAAGTCGCATGATACGTGGCTGGTTGCCGTTATAGTTTAAAGGGACCTTGCGATGTCTGGAGGAAATGTTGCAGGACAACGATGAAAGTTATGGTGGCGAAAGTCCAACTGGGGTGGGTGGAAGGGGTGGTGGATGGGTCCAACAAACACCAACTTTCACCTGAGAGAGTGGTGTTTGCATCCCATAAGATTCTAAAGCCAAACCCTGTTCTTATTTCATAAACCTAACCACGTGTTTTTGTTGTTGAAGGAAAAAACACATCAATTAGCGGTGTTGTACCAACGTAGTGCATTTGTTTTGAAAGAGACTGTATGTAAATGTTAAATTTCCTGTGAAAACATAAGTGTATTTTGAAAGAAGATAACTCGACACAGTGTTCCAGAACATCAACAACCAACACACCCAGGATACCTTGCATGTTGTATGTCGATGTGGAAAGTCCATGACCAAAATGTAAATATGTGACGAGGTCGGAGTGAGAATGTGTTGTCCGGCATGCCAATCACACACTGGAGCGACATGATGCTGCTGTCGATTGGTTCTGTATAACAATGCAAAGGTGGCATAAAGAAGGGACTTCGTAGTGGCCCTATAGTGTGATCTCTGTGAATAAAGGGCTATAGAAAGTGAGACTTATCCCAAAGTAACATGTTAAATAAATTGTGTGAATTAGTCAGTCAGTCAGTTCTGCATTAGACTGTCAAAGCAAACACTGGTCAACAGTTCAGAAAATTTGAGCTTGCTTTCCTGGAAATATGGACAGTAACAGACATTATTTTTCCTTGATCGAGATGAAAGACTAATTGCACCCAAACTGTACAAACCATTGTTGTTTCTACAGAGTCTCCTGAACGCCTCTTCAACAGACAAACACTTCATGTGGTTTGTGTCTGAGAGGCTCAAATTATCACCAGCATCTGTCGAGTCTAAAACAAAACATAGAACAACATATACTTTAAAAACAGAGAACTGGCTTTTTAAAAATAGTTGATGCACGAGTGCCTCTGTGGTTAAACCTTTTCTGTGTGAGAAAAAGTCTAACAGTTACTGTAAGTATGACCATGTAACACAGACAGGTTTGACGCCTTACACCACAGCACAACAAGCAGCAGCAGCAGAGCCACTATTAAAAATAGTACAACAGTCCTTCAGAGGGGCAGACGAAGTGCCATGTACATGTGTAACATGCTATAACCTTCTTAACAGAATGTTACAGGTTGTCTCTAAAGGCTTGCTCTAGCATTACTCTGGCATGAACTAAAAAGATTTTACATTGGTGTTCTGCTATTTAAAGAAAAATTAGAGCATAAAATAATAGTTAAAGTTCAACAATAAGTAACACTGTAGATAATAATCTCAATTTAGACAATTTTCTTTAATTGAATTCACTGTCTCACCTCTGACAGCCATCCAGCTCTCTGGTGATCCTCCAGCTCCAGAGATGTGACACTTGTAGAGTCCTTCATCAGACTTGGAAACACTGTGGATGGTCATCTCTCCTGTAGAGCTGCTCCTGATGAGGAGGCCATCTTTGTAGAAATCAGCTGTCAGGTTTGAAGAAGTCGTCTTGTTTCTGCAGCTCAGAGTCACATCGTTTCCCTCCGTCACAGGGAGGACAGGACTCTCCAGGAGCACAGATCCAGCTACAACAAAGGTTTAACACCTTTTCTGAATTTTATGAAACTCAATTGTTTGCTTACTTTGTGGGAGTAAGGTTTCGATTACACCAAAAACACACTGCTACAGGCGCGGCTGCTTTAAAAACACCTTGGCATAGTGCATCAGGCCAAACACTATGGTGTGCCAGAAGTTCAGCCGTGTGTGCAATCAGTTGAACAGTAGAAAAACCTGCCTTTTGCTTGATTTAATCGGCTGCCTGAGCCAAGTGAGATATTATGAGTGGTCTTTGAAGTCTCTCTCACATTTCTTTCTCAGGTGAAAATCTCATGGAATCAAAGCAAGGACTTTTTACAGAAACTTACCAGTGATGACAGAGATGTTGACTGTGGTTCTTCCCTGTCCCTCAGTCTCACACAAGTATTCTCCGCTGTCTGCTGGATAGATTTTATCAATGGTGCAGAAGGACCCTGTTGGCGTCGTTTTAATATCACATATTGGTTTGAATTCCACTGTGTTCCTGATCACTCTCAATCGAGTAGAACCAGGAATCCCCTCACAGTGAAAAGACACAGGCTCATATTCAAAGTGCTGCAGTCTGTTTGGAGTGACACGAAGAAAAGCTGCATCTGAAACCCACAAAGAAATCGTAGTGTCCCAAAAGAAACATTCAGAACTGGAACAATATGTTTATGTCATGATAAAATCAACAAAATCATTATGTATTGGATTTCCTATTGGTCACTCACCACTTTTCTGGGTAAAGCCGTTCGGCAGAGTGAATCCAACCATCACTGGATAAACGAAGAAGCAAAGTGAAATATCAGACTGAGATGGTTTTAAAGTACAGAATGCAAAACTTAGTAAAAGATGGAAAACTGAGTTGCTGTACTCACATAGTTTAAAGCAGAGAGCTGTAGCCTCCATGGTGTCTTCCTGCGGACTGACTGAACATCAGACTGAATACAACTTAAGCATGTAGACGAGAACTTCCTCTTCCTGTTCAGTTTACCTCTTAACCAAACCTTCCTCTGTCTCTCACTGCCTCTAAATGTAGCATATGAAATCAGCATCTTTGATGAAGCTGATGTACTTGCATGATCCTTGCACTTTTGTTGCTGTACACTGATGGTTGAATGCACTTAATGTAAGTTGCTTTTGGTAAAAGCGTTAGCTAAACAAATGTTATGTAATGCTGATGAAAGAGTTGAAGCCAGAGACACTGTAGCTTGTAGACGGTGAATTGAAAGCAGATTGTAAAAGTTAAATCTGAGAGGTGTCATTGTAAGTGTGATGATGCCTCTCACACATTTAATTTCACTTCATATTACATGTTATTTGTAGATCCAATCCATCATAATATTCAAACCAGCAGTAAGCCATAACTACCTCTTCAGCACCTTTAATTGTAAATATATAAGACAGCCCAAATCTCAAATCAAATTCCACTGTGGCTGTCATTCACATTTATTTACTTGAGTCGGCTATGGAGGCTAATTGGCTTTCCAAAAGTGACAGCTCAGGTGTGCCCTTGCCCTCACCAGCAGCAGACAGGGTCTAACTGTGCATAGTCCTTAAGCAGCCGAGTAGTTGGCATGCCTACGCAACCTTTGTAACTAACTTCAACTGGGCAAACCTTAGCTTTCCAGCCATGTTGTTCAATTTTGGCTTCCAGCACAGTATACTTAAGCTTCTTAGCTTTGTATGCCACATCCACAGCACACTCCCAGGGCACTATAAGCTCTATGATGTAGATGGTACAAAGTGAGGTGGACCAAAGCACATGGTCAGATCTGAGGTTAATTGTAGTGATCTCAGTTGGGAAGCAGAGACTTTGTTCCAGGTCTGCAAAGTAACTTCCAGTCCTGTGCCACTTCCAGCTACTTAGCCTTTGGTTTTTAAAGGCCTCAGATTAGTTTGCACCTTTAAGGACAAACTCTCTTGGAGATGCAGGATGGGATGACAGAGGAGGCAGTGCGTTGACGCTTGCCCATGTGCTCCTTAGCATAGCTCCTAGATACTTAAGTACCTGGTTGAGTTGCCAGATGTAACAGCTTTATTTAAGGCTTGTCTTGCAGCTTGTGGGGAGAGATGCTGAGTAGGACCAGAGTGGAGCTGACAAGTACTCACTGCTTCTCATCCTTTATAAGCTTCAAAACTGTATTTATCGTCTGAACATGGTGATAAGAGATTCATATTCTGAAAGCAGAGACTTCATTTAAAATCAACCAAAAAACGCAAATGACCAAAAATTGATATGTTGAAATAAATCAACATTAATCTAAGGTGAGCTGTTGTGACTTATGACTGCTTTTGATAGAGGCATGCTATATATATGTATAAAATATTATTGGACTATAGATGTATTAATGTGTTCATCACTTTAATGTTGCAGCTGGTTAAGGAGGAGTTCATTCTCAGCACTTTACACACTGCCAGGTAGCTTACTTTATGATAATATCACTGTATTAGTTAATGTATATTTTGTATTCATTATCTGAATCAGCAAAGTAATTAATGTTGTCACATTATTGCAGTGGAGTAAAAACTACCATATTTACCTCTGTGATGTAGTGGAGTAGAAGTATAAAGTAGCAAGAGATGTAAATACACAATAAAAAGGCACACATACCTTACAACTGCACTTGAGTAATTGTACTGAGTTACTTTCCACCACTGTAATCATAATACTGAAGTATTCTGCTGAAAGGAGACTTTTTAAGATATACTTTTTGGTAATACAATGATTAAGCTGTGTACTGTGATTGCAAATCGGGCACCAGAGTGCATAAAAAAGCATGAAAATACAGTTTGTTCATAAAAAATGTTCCCCAGGAGAGGACCCCCCCGGAATCCCCCTACAGAAGTCCAGGCTCAGCCCCAAATGTCCTAAAGTGCAGGAAACGCCCGTGCAAACAACTACTGTTCCCCTTTTCCTAAATTACTATGGCAACAAAGAAACACTGTTTTCTTTCCTGATGACTTTGACTGCAGCTGTCATATTTTATAATCAGTTCAAAGTTCAGTTCATAACTAAGATACTCAAAGTAAAAACTGAGTGTAGAGAAGCAGAACCAATCAAGGTTTCAATATGTATTTTGTTATGTTTATAATAATGACAAACATTGTTATAAAGTCAAGTGGTCTGAGCTGAGGCAGAATCTAATGCACTCTGTGGTTGATTAAACAGGGCATGTTAAGCTCAACAGTCTGTCAATGATTTACAGACTTTGGCTGTGCCGTCTGATGACCAGACACACATTGTAGCAGGTACGTCGTCTTCTAAGTGCATTTTTGCCAATTTTACATGTTTTAATTAAATTTTATTCCAAAAGACAGTATCACTTTACCACCTGTAAAAGTGGGTCTGCTTTCAGAGTTTTGGACTTTGTAGTAATATTCTGTAACAGAGAGTTAAGTCTGTTTTGAAAACTTTAACTGAAACATCGAAACCATCGATGAAACTTATATCAAAATGTTGAGTAATGGTGAGAAAAAATCAGATATAATTGATGATATGGGCAGAAACATAATAAGCCTTGAGACTAACTTGTTTATTATGTTAATAGGAGTCATTAGACTTTGTATCATAGAAAGGACTTTAATGAGGTCTAAACTATTGAACAAGTCTGTCAAAATCTATTTACGTTTTAAATTCATTTAAAAAACAGTCTTTGCCATGTTGGCATGAAAAGCGAAAGTATAACTCATTGCACCTTATTGCATATGGCAAAAGTGAAAGTTTAACTGCATTACATGAACACGTCTGTTCTGACATTACATCAGTAGTAATAAAGTATACTGCCAAGTGTTTTCAAAGGTAAAGGACCGCTCAATATGTATTTATGATATGATAATGTACTAGTAGAACACAAATGGTGTTAAAGGGCTCTTTTTTTAGTGTCGCAAACACTGGTAAAAATCTAAAAAACTCCACACATGATCAATTTTGGGAAATTCCTAAATCAAGTCAGAGAGTCACATACACCACAAAACTTGTTCAGGACTAGGTCTGCACTATTTATTGTTGCTGACATCAATTCAAAAGCATATTTTTCCATATAATGTATCACTGCTTTCATTTGAATTTCAGAACTTTAAGATGGTTCCTCAGAGGAATGGACTGTCCCTTCAGTCTCAACTCAGACCCCTCAGTGCTTTGGTTTTCCATCTTCTCCTGACACACTCTGTTAGAGGTAACTCACACACAAATACAACCTCAGGGCCACAGTGAGGCCTCAAATCAAACATGATTACAAAATTTTATTAACATACCAATTGATGAAAGGCTAAAAACTACTGGTGCTGGTAGATCCTACATGCAGCTGAGGCTGATGGGAACTTTTGTTCACCTAAAAAGTCTTGTTCAGTGTTTGGTTGTACTAACAGACCTTCTAAGGAGTCAGATGGTCGTTTTTTCATTTTCCATTTTGAAGTGGTTTAAAAGGTCCAGTTTGTAGGATTTAGAGGTGTCCACTAACAGAAATGGAATATAATAGGTATTCATTACTACACTTTAGATAGTGTATATAATCACCCGAAAATAAGAATCATTGTGTTTTAATGACCTCATAATGAGACATTTTTAGGGAGCAGGTCCTCTTCCAGAGTCTGCCATGTTGTTTCTATAGTGGCCCAGAGTGGACAAACCAAAAACGAGCTCCAGATAGGGCCATTTACATTTCCTGTGATGTTGCCTCAGCCACCATAGTTTTCCTGCACATTTGACACACAGGATAAGTTTCAGGTCTGCAACCCTACCTCAAGATGCCACTGAATCCTACACACAAGACCAGTATTTGTCAACTGGAGGCCTGTAGGCCACATCTGGCCTGCCAAAGCTTTCCAGCCAGCCCCCAGAATATGAACTGATTCAAAAGATGTGTTTAAGAAAAAAATACATTAAAGTATTGAGGATATCTAGTGTTTTTAACCATCCTATATTGGATCAATGCCAAAAGCAACTGAGACCCCCAATATGACCTTTTCAGCCTCAGGTACTAAATAGATTTAAATCCATCTTTCGCCTTATTACTGATCAGGTTCCGGTAAGCGTACCTTACAAATGTAGTTGTTGACCTTGCACTCGACTTTCAAGCCTGTTTTTTGCACAGGTACAAAAAACAGCACAAGGGTATCATAGATAACCATCGCTGTAAATAAACTGTTTTGATAAAGCAGCTAGTATTAAAATGGTCTCCACCCTCTCGTTCAAATATGGTGACTTCTGATTCCAAATGCCAAAATGACAACAGCCAAAATACCAACCTCCGGGTTTCAGAAAGGGAGTCAACACACCAATGGGTGTTCTCATGGTACTACATCTATTATTTCATACAGTCTTTAGGAGCCTGGTCTCAATCCGAAGTCATCGAAATCCAATGTTTGGGCAGTGACTTGCAGCATCAGAAACCAGTGAAAAAAGGCATCCTTTGACGTCGGCATGATATGCAGCCAGTTGCCGTTTTTTCCCTAAAACCTTGATTTTGACAGACTGAATGTAAATGTTAAATTTTCTGTGAAAACAGAAGTGTATTCTGAAAGAAGACAATGCATGTAACAGGCAGAGCTTGACACAATGTTCCAGAACATCAGCAACCAACACACCCAGGGTACCGTGGACGTCGTATGAAGACGTGGAAAGTCCATGACCAAACGTCAACATGTGACGAGGTCAGAGTGAGAATATGTTTTCTTAGGTGTATGTATAAAGTACTGGCCACATTGAAATGTCAGTCTGATGATGGCCCTGATGATGTGATGAAAATAAATAATTTTCTGAAAAACTTTATAACTGTGACATCACAGATTCTTTGTTGTCAGCAAACATCTCTCCCTCGTTCAGGTTTCCAGTTAACTTATGACAAATATGTTGTTTATTCAGATTACAGGTCTATATGAGCACAGTATCATGGTGTATGAAGAGCCTTGTAGAGATGAGCAGATTTAAGTGGTTCCTACTGCAGGAATAAACAGATGTCTTTCTTTCCAGGTCAGTCTCAGTTGATGGGTCCATCTCAGCCAATAGTGGCAACAGTTGGTGATGACATCATTTTACCATGTCACCTGGAACCTGCAGTGGACGTTGCTGCCATGACGTTGGAATGGACGAGAACTGACTTGAATCCTATATTTGTCCTTGTGTGGCGAGCTGGTCAGGACTATTTACATAGTAAAGATCCATCCTACAAAGGAAGAACGTCTCTGTTCAGTGATGAACTGAAGAGAGGAAACATTTCACTGAAACTCTCTGATGTGAGACCTTCTGATGCAGGAAGATACAGATGCTTCATCCCAACATTCAATATAGACTCTTTCGTTGAGCTTGTTGTTGGTAAGTGGACACAGAATTAGGTCATCAGAGCTTTCTTCTGGTGTAGGGAGATGAAGAGTACAGCTACAGTCATCAAACATCAGTGTAAACAATGATTTGACACTTTTCCTGAGAACATTTTGGTTATAAATATTATGGAAAGAAATATTTTCTCACTAAGTTGATGCAGTAGAATACCTAAAAGAGTTTGACAAACACATTATGTGATATTTCGTAACCCAGAACCAACATTCAGTTGTGAATTAGTTTTGAATTTCTAACTCTATTATTGGTGACAGTAAATATGTGACCCCTTTACATTAAAGCAGCCTCATCAGTAGTTCAGGGACCATCTGTGTTGATATAGAAACTATTGTATCAAGTAAAAGGCTAATCTTCTGTCTTGAAACAACAAACTGAGGGAGTGGCCTACACCAAATAATTCCAAAGGCTGCACGAATGCAGAGGATATATTCTTTACTTTAGTCATTTCTTAGCTTTACAGTTGAACAGTAGCGCATCTTTATAATAATTAATATGGCGGTTGCATTGCTGACTGGTGTTTTAATTTTTTGTTGCTCATCATCAGGTGCTGCGTCCTCACCTGTCATCAGTTTAGCAGGGATCGACAGAGACAAGGGGGGAGTGGTGTTACAGTGTGAGTCTGCAGGCTGGTATCCAGAGCCTGAGGTGTTGTGGCTGGACGGTGAGGGAAAGCTCCTCTCTGCTGGACCTACAGAGACAGTCAGAGGTCCTGATGACCTCTATACTGTCAGCAGCAGAGTGACTGTGGAGAAGAGACACAGCAACAGCTTCACCTGTAGAGTCCAACAGAGGAACATCAACCAGACCACAGAGACACACATCTCTATGTCAGGTAAACAATGTACATATTTATCATGTGGTCACTGTTTCAATTTCAAATAGCTCCAGCTCTATATAGATGTCATCTTATTTTTGTTTTATCATTTCAGATGATTTCTTTAAGGTCCAGTCCAGTTCTGCTGTTCCCATCATCACTGGTTTGGCTGTTAGTTTGACTGTTTGCATCATGTTTATAGCCTTACTCCTCATTTTTTTGTGGAAATGGAGGCAAGACATAATCAGTAAGTCTGAAATTAATTTGCAGTGCTTTGTGAATGTGAAGTTATTCTCACAGGATTTGTGGGAGAAATGATATGAATTGTGTACATTAAATTTCATTAGATCAAAATATAGTATTTTGCTGGTTATGGTGTTGATTAAAAATGTGGTGAAATATCTACTTTCATTTCCAATCAGTCCAACTGTCAGGTGTCTGACATTTATAGCTCATCTTATACCTCGTTTTAAACTGAAAGGTCTTTATGCTGTGAAACCTTCCTAAAACTCTACTGTCTATGCTTTTACACAGAGACCAAGAGAAGCCACTGTGATGAAACTGAGACAGGAAAAAAGAAGAACAGCTCTAAAACCAACAAAACTGAAGATCAGTCTGTTCCTGTTGAAGAAAGAGAGCACCTCATGACAACTGAAACAGTGGAAATGAAGGTAGTAAAGGGAAAAGGGGGAAAGAAAAGCAAACATGTAAGTAGAGAAACAGAATCTGTGTTAAGAAAGGAATTAAGAAGACAACAAGAGCAGCTGTGACAGACAGATAACTATTACTGATGTGTGGACAATCAGAGGCTCAAGAAAAATGGGACAGATGAGGCACAGCTGAGACAGACAGAGGGATGAAGGTGAAGGCAAATATCAGTGGAGACTGAGATAACAGCAAAAGAGAGATAAGCCATAAATGCATGTCAGTATTTGGTATTGTCAGTAATAAAGTTACGTCTCACATCTGGTCTTTGTTCATTTCTCTCCTCTGTCAGATTGAGAAGCAGAGATGTCAGCAGCAGCTCCTGGAGGAGCAGCAGAGGAGGGAGGAAGCTGAGAAGGGAGTTCAGACTCTGAAAGAAGAGATGGAGACCAAGAGGAAGGAGGTCCATCTTTACTTTCATAATATAACACATTGATTTCAGTGTGAAGTCACATTCCTGGTGTCATCCATAGTGTAGATGAGGTCAAACTTACAGGAGTTTGTTTGAGGTATTCACAAAATAAATTTCAGTTTTAAGAAATTTTAATTTTTCAACATTTAAAGACCAGTCCAAATACAGACAGACTTTATTTTTTAAATGTTAATACAGTGAACATGTCTCTCATTGTCATCACCTTCTCTCTGTCCTTGAAGGTTGAAACTAAACAATATGAGCTGCAGCAGCTCCATGAAGAGAAGCAGAGGAACGAGGACGAGCTGCAGACACTGAAGGAAGAGCTGGAGAAGAAAAACAAAGAGGTTCATATCTTCATCTTCATCATTCTCTAGAGAGAGAGAGTCAGCTGTCATGACTCAACATTTTCAGCCTGTTTTCATTCAGAAGTCGTCAAATACCATCGCTTTGTTGGTGATTTTGGTGTTTGACACTGATGCCAAAAGCTATGCTTTGCACTGGTATGATACGCTGCTGGGTGGCGTCAGTTCATTACTGGCTGGACGCCACTGGTTGCATTGCTATGATATGCTGCTAGACCGCATCAGTTGGAAACGCGGCCTACAACAATGTAATATAAGGAGCTGATTATGAATATGAATGTAGAGCCAAACTATGATGTTTTTTTTCTAAACCTAACCACGTGATTGTGTTGATGTTACACTGGTGTTTGCCAACTGTGACGTCCCTCCCACTGTCTTGGAGGATGTTTCAGCCTTGACTGAGCTCACCTTAGCCCCCCGCGCTTTAAAAGCTGCCTCATGTGTTCACTTGCTCTCTCTCTTCCTGCAGTAGTCATCCACCCTGCATCATTGCTTTTTGGTTTGTACCTTCAGCACCTCCACAACACACCTGACACACATCCATGCATGGCTTTCAGTACTGACTTTGCTGACCTACATACTGCAATGGTGATTTAAGTTAATCTTGGTTTGATAAATTATGTTGTTTTCTCTAAATCTTGTGTGTGTGGACTCCCTACTTGTCACATCCATTGAGCCAGTTTGTCAACAGCAGATGTGGAAAGATACCTGGTGCTCTATATGTAGATGCAAAAGTCCACTGACAAAGCAACAAAATGTGACGACTTGGGATGAGAATGTGTTGGCATTTCTGCAGCTTGAGGCACAGGAAATGGATCAATGTACACTACGTTTACTTGATAAACTTTATTTACACTTAACATGTGGCAGATAAAATACACTTGAATGTATATGAAGGAAATGTTCAATAATTACTCAGATGCTTTAATGTGGTACTCATGTGTCTCTGTATGTCCTTCCATTTCCTCAGCTGGAGACAATTCCAGAAACCCATTGCTTCTTGTCTCGGGTAAGTGGTCATTATATAAGTATAATATATAAAATATATGGATAAAGTATGAAAAATATATGTTGTTTCCTAATATTAAAAAAAAAAAACAGTGCCACCACAAGACAAAGTGTGTCTATCAGAGTAATTTATCAGTTTATATAACCACCAGATTGTGGCTTTTGAATGACAACACTGATAAACATAGTGGTTTAATTGACAGAAAAAAAACTGTGCAAACAACTTATTAAAAGCAGAAGAGCAGCAGGGAGAATCCATATCTGTATAGTGCACAGATTTGTGAACCCGGGGATGATGAAAGAATGGCCTGCCTTACTCCACCTCTGACTGCTTTACCCTGACATTCTTACTCTGATCTTAACCAATCCCACTCCTCTTGCCTAAACCCAACCAATCCAACCAACAAAGGCAATGAGTACTCGCCATCTATAGGGAGAGTTGGGCAGGTCATTCCTTCACCTTTCTAGGATTTTCTAATTTGCATACAGTACATACTGAGAGTAAACAATCAGTACGTTTACATGGACAGTTTAATTCCACTTTTAATCGGAATGAAAGGCCATTCTGATTAAAAGTGGTCATGTAAACAGTCATTCCGATTGAAAATTAAATCCGATTAAAGGGGATGGTTTATTCCGTTTGTCATTCCGAATGAAAGAATTTTGTGTGTATGTATACACTCATTCCTCTTTAAGTTCATTCCGGTCTTTCTGCGCGTGCTCATTTCCTTGCCCTCCTCTCTCGATGACGTATATAACGCGCATAGCAACGGGCTGCATAGCAACAGGCTGAGATAGAGCGGTCGGACTCGTTGCACTCACCGGTTTCCATTCGCCACAGCACGGTCTTCTGCCTCCCTTCTTCGACCGTCTACCTCCCTTCTCCTCCTCAACAGACGAAGCATTAGCAGAACAAGGTTGTTGTCGTACTGCTGCTTCAAGAATATAAGCAAAACAAGCCCGAAAAAGGCACTAAGAACGGCGTCGTCAAGCATCTTGTTATCCGGAGCGAGGGCGAGGGCTACAGTGTTTTCTTCCGGTAAATGTAAACACGTCACATCTGCCCCGCCCCCTATCCAATCAGAAACCTTCCCTGCCCCAAACCTTGCGCAGACCTGAATAAAGGCGATTGAACTGATCTCCCGTGTAAACCCTCATTCAGAATGAATATTTCCAATGTAAACTACCTGGAAAGACTTTAATTCCGAATGATTTCATTCAGATTTATTTCATTCTGAATGAGAAGCCATCATGTAACCATAGCCACTTTTACCACCCACACACCTGAAATAAAGCTACACAGGAAACTTTGCTGCTGAAACGCAGAATTTCTGCAATGTGGAGAAAAAAAGTGCTGATGCTTAATTTTCTTGCCATATGTGTCATTGTGCAACATGTTGAGTCACATGTCTTAATACGATCCAGAGGCACCACAGGTTTAGACACCAGAGATGGGAAGTGGAGACACTGAAGATCAAGCTGGAGACTAAACAGACGGAAGTAGACTCCAAAATCAAAAAGGTTTATATTTGTTTCCTTTCCTCTTAAGATTTTTTTTCAATTACCTACCAGTGTGTTTTCAGTTTAGCTTCTCTGTCTGGGTCCAAGTCACTTCCAGAACCAAGTCAGGTAAAGAACAGATCTAAGAGAGCTTGAGACTAAAATGATTTGAGTCATTTTCAAACAATAACCCAAAGTTTCTAGTTTAAGAATATGACTGTAGAGGCTGTAGTTACATGTATTTACCTCTCAGACACACACAGCAGGTTTCAACTCTCCTCATGAGGCAACATGACGAGAGTTGATGGTAATTTGGTGAAAATGTATCTTCAACATTGCACTGACAGTCGACAGATCTGTTCCTGAAACACCTCTGCACAGATGAGACTGGTCAGGTATAATTCTTGGGGCAGCTGTGGATCAGGAGACAGAGCAGGTTGTCCACTGATCACAGAGTTGGCTGTTTGATCCCTGGCTCCTCCTGTCCACATAAGGATGTCCACATGTCAGAGTTTTCTTGGGCAAGATGGTGTGTTTGAATGGGTGAACAGTAAGCCAACATTCTAAAACTCTTTTGAAAAAGCATTAAAAAAAATTCAGTCCATTTACCATAATGACTCAGTATTGAGCCTGTTGATGCAGACACTGGATGGACACTAGGCTCTTTTTCCTGTGTGTCATGGTCTTCTTCTGTTGTCAAAAATGGTGTTTTATGTTTTATTATTGATTTCTATTTTAAATTATGATTTGATGTGAACTTATACTGAAAGGATTGGATTGATGAGGTCATATACATGTTTTATTGTCATGATCATAGTTTGGGTTAAATCAAGTACTTTGTGAAATCTGGCGAATTTTGTGACCTTCATAGAGGTTCCAGGCCTCATGGCTTTAGCCTGATGGCTTTAAGCTTATGGAACGATCATAGTCAAGCATTAAGAAAAGAAAAACACTGTTAGTAGGAAACTGAAAATGAGGCAGTCCACCCCTATTCACAATATTTACAACAATGCTGTTTCACTACAACAACAATATGTGTGGCCGGTTGGGAGAGGAGGAAGGTGAGGTCTGCCCGCTAGCTCGACGCAACTGCCATCTTGGTCCTTTAAAAACCCGAACGCCCTCAGCTGCAGCCAATCACAAATGAGGGCAGATGCAATCCACCAATCCTCGCCGGGCTGTGGCACACACCTATTTGCATACAGAAAATACAACACACAGAGAACACATGCAGGAAAACATACACAAACAAAAGAAATTACGACAACAGTCGTAACAATTGTTTTTGGACGCTTGCTGAAATGACAGATGCTGATGTTGGGGAACAGTTTATGTTTTTGACTGGTTGTTGCAGTTGTGCCAGTGAAAAAGGAGAAAAAGGAGAAAAAGGAGTTATTAAAAAAACACACATTCAGAAATGTTTATCTGTTCACAGCAGCTTAAATTAGACATATAGATACAACCATTACATAGACTTGAATGATTCTCTGTTGCTGTTTCATGTTGTATCACATACATTCAAATATGCATCAATCAGAAAACATGTGTCTCATCTTCTCTTTCCTACCAGATTGATGAGAAACAAGCTGAAGTCCAGCAGCTCCAGAATCAGATTCAGATGGTGTCCAACCTGCAGATCCTGATGGAGACTCTGTCCAAAAACATGGAGGTCCATCTCTCTTTCTTAACTCTGCTGTGTCTGATAAGGTTTCCAGTCTAGGTCTGCAAAGACATGAAAAACAACAAAGTATTTACACTAACATTTAGTATCAAGTATAATGTGGGGAAATTCAGCAACACTTATCCTCTATAACTTCTCATCACAGATTAAAGGTCATCATGACTCTGTGCAGCCCATTTGCCAGAAGAAAATGTTAATTATACATTCTTTCAAACCGTGAACATGTCAAATTGGTACACAGGGCTGCCCCTGACCAAACTGGGGCCCTAAGCGAAATTTTATTTGGAGGCCCTCATCCCAAATGTATCATAGGTACAAAATGACCGTACAACAACTTGCCATTTAACTTGACAACCTTTACTGGCAATAACAAATGTACTGTAGATACAGTAGTTTGGCTGTATGAGTCAAATAAAATAAAAAATTAAAATAAATAAATAAATAAATATTAAATAAAAATAACTTCAAACTGAAATAAATAAATAAACAAATCTGAGTCACAAATAGCCATCAATTACTCATCAAAAGAAAGTAACTTCCACCACCTCAATCCCCCACCCTTGATTAAACACTGAAAATAAAATAAAAGAGGGAGACAGGTTTTTCCTATTTAATCTTATTTTGTTATATTTCTCCCTCTCCCCTCTCTGGAGGCGTCCGATCTCCCTCAGCCCTCCGCCTCTCCCACCTTAATTAAACACTGAAAACAGAAATAAAATACAGAGACATTCTTTTCAATTTTCATGATATTTAGCTATATTTCTCCCTCTCCCCTCTCTGGGAGCGTCCGACCTCCCGGCCCCGCACATACCCCCGAGGCTCGGGTCTCCCCCTCCGTGGAGCCCGCCAGCCCTCCCGTCCCCGCACATACTTTTGGACGACATGTCGACAACTCTTCACCTGTTGCAGCTTTGCAAGTGCCTGCCAGCGCACCCCTCTGATTGTACAGATGTCGAGTGCTATCAATCATTGCAGCGACGCATGGGCGGTCAGGTCTCTTCTCTCCTTCCTCGAGCTGATTCTACGCGCGCCTCATGGTAGCGCATGTGTGCATCCATTGCGCATATGCGCAAATGCGTCCCCTCGCGCAAAATGTGGCCCCCCATGGAAGATGAGGCCCTACGCACAGCACGTGTTCTGCGTTTAGGGAGGGGCGGCCCTGTTGGTACGCTTCATATGTACCATGTCAATGTTTCTAAAGTGACGTAAGGTATGGGCTGACTTTGTCATCTGGAGGTGGAGGGAATGGCAGATGGTGTGACACCTGTCAAGCTGTAGACCACTGTCAGAGACCAGCAAACAACAAAACTGGTTGTTCCGGTGTTTTTCATTTGCTGTTAAAGCTCTGAACATGAGTGTATTGTCGCAACCCGTTGGTGTGTTTCTATCGGCTTTGAAGGGCTCTAATCGTCAGTGTTGAATTGCGACTTGTCAGTGTCAGTCAATGTCACTCCATCAATTTTTAGGATCCAATCATAGGCGTTAATAAGGACCCATCAGTGTGGTTTCATCCGATTTTTAAGGCTTGTATTGTATGGGTTTTTTAGCAACCCATCAATGTTTTTCCACTGACTTTTTCCAGTCATGGGTGTTGTATAGCAGCCTGTCTGTTTCTCCATGTACTTTTAGACCCCAATGATGGATATTTTGTAGCAGCCCAGGTATTTTCGTTTGCTTTTTAAACTCCAAATGCAGGAGTTTTGTAGCCACACATAGGCCTGTATCGGGCCACGAAAAGCTGTTTGATTGTGTTTTTGTTTTTTGTTTTTTTGCCAACTCCTGGTTAGTTTTCCTGCTGCTTTGCCCCCAAAACAGAGTATTTTAAGCCAAAACATGATCTTTTTCTAACATTAACCAAGAGAAATTTGTACCTCAACCTAACCACAGGGTAACCACAGTGTTGTTGAAATGTAACTTTTCAATGTATCTGCTGCATAATAACATGCAAAAGTAATGTATCCCTGGTTTTTAGAAATGTTCAATACCAACATTTTTCTGGAGATTGGATTGCTTTATGTATTTAACAATTCAGACCTTGAACTTAAAGCTGCTTGTGGAGGCTCATAGTTATTTTTAGTTCACTTTTACTCATGAAATAGTGTGTATTCTTGAGGTTTTACAAACCTGTGCATTTTCTTTGCCATAAAACATTTGCAGAGCTGATTTTCTAAGTATTTTAAGTTTGTCTTTATTGGTTTACATCATAAACCACTAATATATCTTGAATGAAAGAACATGGCTATCTTAATCTTCCTCTTTCTCCCCAGTTGGAAAGAAGCAGAGTCACTCCAGCCCACTCTTCCTCCTCTGCTGTAAGTGGCCAGGTACAATTGATACACTTTAAGGTTTCCTAATGAACATAAAGCTTCCTTTAAACTCACTGGCAGTAGAAGATGTTTGAGCTCACTGAGAGTAATTTGGTTAAAGATTAGTTTTACTGGTCAAACTGTGGAACTGCAGAGTTTCTAACACAGAACTGTCCAAGTGCTCTCATCTGAACATAAAATACATAATCTACAACAATCTGATCTTGAGATGTGCTTGATATTTGTCATATTGTGTTACCTACCTCTCATCCCTTAATAAGGATGTCTAATGTCTCTAATCAGTCTCCTCTCTCTTGCTTTCAGTCAAAGTGGCCGATAGTTTCCAGGCAGAAGTTCCAGGAGGAGCAGCAGAGGAGGGAGGACGCTGAGAACAAGGTGAAGAACCTGATGAAGGAGCTGCAGACTCAGATCAAGGAGGTTTGTATTTGTATTCTCCACCAAAGATTTCTGTCTTTCCAACCATCCACTTAACATCTTTCCAGTTTCCCTTCACAGAGGTTCATCTTTTCTTGATACTGATTTTTGTTTCCACCTGTTTGTTTGTTTTTAGTTGTAAGTCTTACAATTTCTGCTTCACTTTATCCTTAGCGTTTAAACTGTACAGCAACATAAACCACAGAAGTTTGGCTTTACTTACTCATTGTTTGGGCTTGTTAGTGCAAAAATTATGTGAATAATTGAATAATTACAAAATCAACATTTTTATTTTTCACATTGACCTCAAAATGTTGAAAAGTGTTGAGGTGGTGAGCATTCTGTTTGCCTCAAACTGAACATTTGATGAAGGTTACAAAATACAGAAATGGGGTGTCCAACTGTCATAAAATGTTAGTTAGAGAAATCAAAACAGACTTATTTGGAATGAATGAAT